ATTTGTAATAGAAAGCTTGTATTTTAAATGAAATAAATTAAAAATATGACTACAAATTGCAGCCGAACATTGTCACAACATCACATTGAATAATTGCTGGTCATATCATATATTATGGTCTATCTAAAAGACTAATTTTCTGTAATTTTATTAACCGCCTTTCTGAGTAAACGTTTCGATTTCAAATGAAATTATTTTTTTGTATGAATGTTGATATTCTGTTTGTATATCCACTAGAGTTTATTCAACAAATTGTAATCTATCATTCTACACATCTCGAGTTGAGACATTTCTAACGTCAAAAAATCAATTTCGACTAGAAAATATAAAATAAATTATCCTTTTCGAAAGGTTGTCGTGCGTTGAGCGTCGTTTTACTTCAGTTTTCGTTAAACATTGGAATTTTAACAGAACTTGAAAATCATCGAACAATGTGTTTTACATCTTAATTTTTATATTGAAATCCAATGTAAACATAATGGTACAATGTATTTTGTGAAAAATCACAAAAAAACATAACAGGGAGTTTCACTTTAACTAACTTCGAAAGTAATAATTCAATGCAACGTTTCATATACAAATCAGATTTTTCATATATTCAATAATTACAAAAAAATTGAAAAATACTTTTTAAATATTTTTAGTTAGAATATAATACTGTACTCGAATTATGTACAGCACTTGTGTGGTTTCTGTACTTCACAAGACATTTCTTTTCGCGTTCCAATACGCCACTAATTTGAATAAACGAAGATAATGTGGAGTATAAGCCGCTAATTACCTGAAATTATAATTAAACACAATTGAATTCTTACAATTTCCTACAGAATATTAGTTTTTGTTACGGTCTGCAACTACCTATACGAGTGATTCTAAATACTTACTCTTATGACGAAATTTCTCTTAATATAAAAGAATCCTCCGACGGATATTCCAATGGGATTCTTTCCGAATCTCTTCATGAAATTGTCGATCTATAAGAAAATAACTTTTATTACATTAAAAATATATTAATTGCGCAAGAGTTTGTCTAAGTTTCTACAGATTATAACCTTCTATTCTATTAATTATCCACACCTGACAATTCAAAGCCGTGTTCATTTGTCAACATGTTTACAGAAATAAAATGAAGTAAATACTAATTTAAAAGATTGTGTTGTTGAATTATTCGAATTTATTAAACGAAAATATTAACGTATTCATTATTACTGTTTTTTTTTTAAATGTATTATTTATATATGATAGGTAAAACTTCACTGTTTCTAACATTTTATTAATATATGAAAGTTGCTTGCCAATTGACATGTTATGAAAAATTTAAATATTAAAGAACGTAAACGCATTACCTTGAACTTAAATTCTAAAGGAAAGGACACAGAAGAAATCTTTTCAATATTTATAAAGCTGTCGTACATCTGAAAAAAGTAAATTTTTCATTAGATGATATTCTACTGTAAAATAGATATTACGTGTTGCAAGAGACAAATGTTTATATTTTGGACTTCCAGAATTCAAGCAAGTTTCTGTTGCACAGCAAAGAAAAGTTCACTTTCGGAATTAAAAAATATTAGTAATCTCGTAATCAACAATTTTTTAGAAGTAGCTAAACAGAGAATAAATTCAGTAAGTCTTACAAGACAGAAAGAATTCAATAGGAAAAATTCAGTTTTGAATTAATAGCTTTGCCTGCAACTTTTTATGGCACCATCTGTTATCACATTGTATTAAAAACTCTTTATTCTTTCAACTATTATAAACTGTCAAAATCCTTAATTTTGATGGTAGAAATAAGATGTATACAATATTATAATCAGAGTAACGAGTAAAATCGTAATTAAGTGTGAACCTAATAACCCCCTTTGTCTCTTCACTCTTTACAACGTTAACCACCAAAACTTAACAGCATGAATCCCTCTAAAATTCAAACCTTCCTACAAAATTTCAGAGATTTGCGACGAAAGTGCAGAGTTATTAAGCTTCAAAAACGGTAAATAAAATCTTATCCTTCAAAACAAACTTTCAACCAAATATACAGAAAAAATTAACGATTTTTTTGCATTTCTCGATGTTTAAGTGATCATTGTTTAACCGATTGGGATAGTTTCCTTCTGTTATATATAACGTGTAAGAAGAACAAATGAAATACAATTGAAAAGTCGTAACTAATGTATAAAACAATACAAATAAATCACACTCACACGATAAATTTTCGAGTATACAAATTGCAATGTTAACTGAGTGCTGCTGCATACAGACCTTTAGTTGTAAACACAAAACAATCGTCATATTATTGAAAACCACATTATTGTTATATGATCGTATTATTAGTACTTTAAAGAAGTTTCGTCATATCGCAGATATCGGACACCAGTACAAAAAGTCCTAATAACACGATATGTTTTAGTTCACATTTATACAATAAATTTCATATAAAAAAGACACAAAGACACTTAAATTATCAAAAAATTTAAATTGGCAGTGACAAATCACGAAAAAGTGAATTAAACTGAAGTTAAATTAATCGTTATAGACTTACTTAGACCTATTGAATCTGAACTAGAAAAGTTCTTATATCAAGTGTAATTATTATATCTCGATTTTGAAGTATTTTACATCAACAACTAACTAGTATTCGTAACTTACCAATGTCGTGAAGAAAGACATGGCCCAACTAAATAAAATGAATCCTGAAAGAAAAATGAGTGAAAGAATTCCAAAACAAATTCTCAATGTCAATTCCATATCCACAAATAATGTCGCATACAGAAAAAAACACGTAGTATACAGAAAATGAATGTATATAAACGGTATAAGAATATTCCATTTTTCGTTAATCATTTCAAACAACTCCCAGATTTCTTGATGTTTCCACATAAGTGCGTTAATTTTATTTATCTTTTCATTAAATTCTAACAAGTGTAAATTCTTTCTGTTTAGTTTCAATAGTTCTAAAGAGAGATTAATCAGTCTTTTGCCCAATGTAATGCCGAGTAATGTGCATATTAATAACAACAATGTAATTTGTCCTACTATATATAAATACCAAACTGTATGAAGGCAAACACAAACGAAGGCTTCCATATCTGTGCCTTTTAGTTTCTTTATTATTATAAAATAAGAAATTCCAGTCATTACATTCAGCAATATTGATACAAAAAACAAATATGTAACGATGCTAATCAGGAATACTTGTATCTGCTCGGTGATTTTCCATTCTCCTTCGTAACTGCTAATTATGCAATGAACTGAAATCTTGCTTCTCTTAAGAATACTAAACTGAGCAGCTACATAAATGGATAGGAAAGCGCTGGCAACCGCTGCCGGTAAGGCATAATCGTAGTACATATGAATGATACGTAAAGCATATAAATTCATGTCGTATAATCTGATCAAGAAAAGTAATGCCACATTCCACATAAATACCTCGATCACACCGCTGTATATTTTGAACAGAGTTGAAAGATAATTGTGTTTCTGCGTGTTTTTTTCACTTGACATGCAAGCACATCGAATGCAAAAATCCAATCCGTAAACTTTAGCAGAATCCAAAATCGGAGCTAAAATATAACCCAAACATATTTGCTTGTGTTGAAGCGACATTCTTTTACGTAATTGCCTTTATTTATAAAATTAATAGAAGTTTTATAAATTAACTGATAAGATCGAGTACAAAAAACTTAAAAAGAAACTTTAAAAGCTTAGTGGACATGCTTCTTGGACATGTTTTGTGGACGAGCTTCGCAGATGACGCAATACAGGAACTGTATTGTCTCATCCGCGTGTTTTCCA